TGAAGGATGAGTGGTGGTGATGTGGTGGTGGTGGTGGGAAGTACAGTGCCTGCACTCTGAAGGATGAGTGATGTGGTGATGATAGTGGGAAGTACAGTGCCTGCACTCTGAAGGATGAGTGGTGGTGATGTGGTGGTGGTGGTGGGAAGTACAGGGCCCGCACTCTGAAGGATTAGTGGTGGTGGGAAGTACAGTGCCTGCACTCTGAAGGATGAGTGGTGGTGGTAAGTACAGTGCCTGCACTCTGAAGGATGGGTGGTGGTGGTTAATACAGTGTCCGCACTCTGAAGGATGGGTGGTGGTGGTTAATACAGTGTCCGCACTCTGAAGGATGGGTGGTGCGTTGCGTGGTAAGCACAGTGCCTGCACTCTGAAGATGGGCTCGGTGGTAAGTACAGTGCTGCTCTGAAGGATGGGTGTGGTAAAGTAACAGTGCCTGCTACTGAAGGATGAGTGGTGTGATGTGGTGGTGGTGGTGGGAAGTTACAGATGCTGCACTCTGAAGGGATGAGTGATGTGTGTTGTTTATGGGAAGTACAGTGCCTGCACTCTGAGATAGTGGTGGTATGGGTGGAATGTGACCGAAACGTGCCGAACTGAAAATGAATAATACTGCACTGTGTCGATTACGGGAGACATCTACATTACAGTATTGACTAACCTGTGGTATGAAGTCGTGCTTCACGTCTCCAGATTACTCGTGGTTGTAATACAGGAGACTTAAATGGTGGAAGACGTCCTCACAATTAAAGATGGCACAGTGGTTGCACTGGGCGAATACGTCTCACAATGAAAGATACTGCAGTGGTTGGAATACATGTGCTTCTTCATATACAGGATCTGAATTTAAGAAATGATTCGAACTTAAAGTTGCCAACACTGGTGGATTACAGTCCTAAGTAGTACTGTGAGGATCTGTAGTGTGTAGGAGTACAGTTGCTGCACTCTGAAGGAGGGGAGTGGTGAATGTTGATTGTGGTGGTGGTGGTGGAAGTACAGTGCCTGCACTCTGAAGGATGGGTGGTGGTGGTGAAATACAGTGTCCTGCACTCTGAAGGATGGGTGGTGGTGGTGGGGTAAGTACAGTGCCTGCACTCTGAAGGATGGGTGGTGGGGTGGGAAGTACAGTGCCTGCACTCTGAAGGATGGGTGGTGGTGGTGAAATACAGTGCCGCACTCTGAAGGATGGGGGTGGTGGTGGAATACAGTGCCTGCACTCTGAAGGATGGGTGGTGGTGGTGGGAAGCACAGTGCCTGCACTCTGAAGGATGGGTGGTGGTAAGTACAGTGCCTGCACTCTGAAGGATGGGTGGTGGTAAGCACAGTGCCTGCACTCTGAAGGATGGGTGGTGGGAAGTACAGTGCCTGCACTCTGAAGGATGAGTGGTGGTGGATGTGGGTGGTGGTGGGTGGGAAGTACAGGCCCGCACTCTGAAGGATGAGTGAAGTGGTGATGATAGTGGGAAGTACAGTGCCTGCACTCTGAAGGATGATTGGTGATATAGTGGTGATGGGAAGTTCAGTGCTGCACTCCAATGGATGGGTGGTGGTAAGTACAGTGCCTGCACTCTAAAGGATGGGTGGTGGTAAGTACAGTGTCCTGCACTCTGAAGGATGGGGGTGGTTACAGGCGATTGGATGGTGGTGTGGGGAAGTACAGTGCCTGCACTCTGAAGGATGTGGTGGTGGGGGAAGTACAGTGCCTGCACTCTGAAGGATGTGGCGTGGTGTGGTAAGTACAGTGCCTGCACTCTGAAGGATGGGTGTGGTGGTGGTGGGGGGAAGTACAGTGCCTGCACTTGAAGGATGGTGTGGTGATGATGGTGGGAAGTACAGTGCCTGCACTCTGAAGGATGGGTGGTGGTGGTGGGAAGTACAGTGCCTGCACTCTGAAGGATGGGTGGTGGTGGGAAGTACAGTGCCTGCACTCTGAAGGATGGGTGGGGCTGCTACAGTTCCCAGGGTCAACTTAACAACTGCATCAACACACGTCTGACCAGACAGCTATGGAACGAATAATGGTGAATGTGTTGACCATTTTCGATCACCATACCTAAGTGGAAAATAGCCGGTACAATTAATAATAATAATATTTAATAATGATAATTAAATTTAAAGCCAAAATAAAAATTAAACAAAAACAGGCAAAAGAACTACTCTCAACGTTCCACTTAATGACACCAGAGAGAAGAGAAGAGAGAGAGGAGAGAGAAGAGAGAGAAGAGAGAGAGAGAGAGGAGGGGAGAGAGAGGAGAGAGGGGAGGAGAGAGAGAGAGAGGAGAGAGAAAGTGAATGGAATAATTGAATATTTAATATAATAATTGACTAGTGAAAGTTGTACATGACCTAAATCTTTTCGTAAACTTGAGGTGCAAGAAACTGACTGACTTGTTCGTGAGGACCACCGAATATTACACAAGTAACCCGTACACAGGAGAGAGGGAATAGCTTATGACACGTTTCGGGCCGTCTTGGAGCGAAATGTGACTTGTGAATGGTC